TGTCATATTTTTATCAATATTTAGGTGAAACACACTCGTGTCCTAATTACTGGTAACAGAGAGGAATCAAATCAAAGGCTTCAAACTGAAGTTTATAGAACATGACTTTCCTTGCTTCATGTCTGTACTTCACAGCATGACTGTCAAGGGTCACTGGGCAGAAACACCCAGGTGTCACCACTTTTGCTCAGGGCCCCACACGCCCTCATCCTTATGGGTTTTCTCCCATGAGGCCCTCATTCGCCAGTGGCTGTGTGTGTGGCCGCAGCGGTTCCCATCATGGTTCTGCCACTGACTTTCACCAGTTCAGGGATGGACGGCAGACAAGCACACTGACCAAGGCCCAAGGAGATGCTGGAGCTCCTTGGGAGGGGGTTTCAGTGAGGACTGAGTCTCTAAGTGAACCTACTTTCAGGAGTGAACATTTCTGTGTCAAGGTTTCTCTTGCTCCCTAAAACCATGGAGAGAAGGAATCAAGCAAGCATTATGGTTTATTTGGGGACCGGAGCTGGGTAACCAGCTACTTGCCCCTCGGCTCTGCCGTCCATGCACCTGCTCTCAAGGCACAGGCAGCTCCTTCATTCGAAGCCTGCAGGCTTGGGCTGGGTTTAATGCCCTGCCCTCCCTTCTCATCCAGCGGGCTCAGGCCAGCAGCCTGAAGCCACAGGTCAAAGGGCAGGCAGTGGCCCTCTAGCACCCAGGTCTGCAGGAAACCCCACAGCACTTTTAATAATGGTTCAAAATGAAAAGTGCTATCAAGAAACAGAGCCACAGGCATGCTGGGGAAGAGGAGATTCCAGTTGGTTTGAATGCCAGACCAACAAGGAGGAAGAGTTGGGAGATTCTGTGCCGACATTAGGCAAGAGACAAATACCTACACTAGCACCTTCTGGAATCTGAAGCAGGTTCTGCTGGACTTCTTGGCTGGAGAGGGAAAGACCCATATAATTTTCCAATTCCGCCAGGCTGGGGTACAAAACTGACGGGAAAGGAAGGGAAGGAAGAGGAAAGGTGTTACTCAAGAGTGTGAGCTTGGCCACACCTGCCTGGCTCCCATGTGGTCACTCGTTTGTATTAAGAAACAGGGCCTGGGGATGCTTTTTACTTCCAAGAATGCACAGAACACTTGCTGGTGATGTGGGTTCTCCCCTCAGAAGGGCTGAGGGGCAGGGGTCTCCCCAGGAGCAGCCTGGGACACAGAATCCCTCATAGATCACTTTGCTGTTCAACTCAATGGACTTCCTTTGGCACTAGCTGGACATCCGACGCAGGGGTGGTGCTGGGGCTGTGACACCCCAGCTTCTAGGATATCCACGGGCTGTGGGGGCTGTGGGAGGCCGGTGTGGGACCCCAGGGCAACTCCAGGGAAACCGCACGGTGGCCAGGAGGGAGAGAGTGGCCTGAAGTCAACTGAGCTGCTACAGGACCTAAATCACGACTTCCACCAACAACTCAAAGGACCACCACAAACATCTTGGTCTCCTCACTCGGCCACAGAAGGTAGCCCCAAATCAGGGGAGTTAGTGGCCTACGGGTCCCCCTCAAAGGGTTCTGGTGGGAGTAAATGTGCAGGAAGCCCACAGCACAGCGACAGACAAGAGGCAAGTGCCTGGAAGTGGCCACAAGAGGTCACTGTCAGTCAGGAACACCCCTGCCCCGCTCACTCACCTGAAGGCTGGGAGACTGGCAGGGTGGGCATCCTGGGCGCAGCTCTGGCCTGGGCCTGGGGACAGGTGGGGAGCACTGGTCAGCTGTGGCCTGGGGCTCCCTGAGGCTGAGGGTCAGGGCATTGGTTATGCTGGTGGGCCTAAGGTGGGGTGTCCATGAACCTGGGAGGTATGTAGATGCGGTCTCTCTAGCTGTTCCTGTTTCTGGGGGAGGTTCTCCCCACAGCCTGTGACCCGCCAACTGTCAGGTCCCATGTACTACCTGGGACAGTCAGAACAACTGAGGCCCCTCCCAACCGAATTCTCAGTCAAGAAGTCCCAAATTCCCAAAACCCACTGGAACCACAGGTGGAGAGAAAGAAGAGGAGCTTCTGTGGATGAGCTGGCAAAATGCCAGACCCCTGGGGTTTACTCTGGAAGCCTGTCTACATACAGTATGGAGTCTACCTGTACCCAATTGGAGGAAGCACTGGGGCAGAGTGGGCACAAGAGAGGCCTGTCTGCTGCAGCTGCTTGGACTTTTCCATTCCTGCTGTAACTCCATTCCCTTAACCTCTGGACACCTGTCCACCAGCAGGCCCTACAGTGGCGACCTGCATGCCCAGGGGCCCTCAACACACAACGCCTTCCAAGACAAGCAAGCCTCCCTTACTTACCTTGGGGCAGTCACAAAGGCCCCATCAGGGGGCCTAGGCTAACACGCGCCCGGTGGCTTACCTGAATGGCTTGGTCCATCTTTAGGTCCTCCAGAGATGGGTACAGCGTGGACATGGCTGCTCCTTGGAACACTCTACAGGGCACAGAAGGTGAGGAGGGGTGACAGGAAGCATGGGCATCTACCTCCCATCCATGTGTGACACTCAGGACTCTCAGGATGAGAAAGATTATCGGGAAGGCATTGTCCCCGTTTTAGAGATGGGGGAGCTGAGTTTGAACCCAAGTCTGTTTTGTTCCCAAGCCCGTGATCGCCGCCCTTGCAAAATTCCATCCCACCATGTTCACCTGACTCTGGGCTATATGGGCCAGGAAGAGGAGGACTAGGGGCCAAGTCCTTCCCAGTCATGTCTCAATGGTCAGGCGGGCTTATGAGGTCTGATCACTCAGGATCCAAGTTCAATCTGGCAGGTTCATAGCGAGTACCTTCTGCATACCTGGCCTTTGTTAGGGGTGTGCACAACACCATCCCACAGCTACACAGAATTCAGTCCAATGTTAAAGTAGGTGGGGTCTTAGTTACAACAGAAAGGCAACAGGGTCCTTGAGAATCCCTCCCCCACCCTCCACACCCCTCTTCACCTCTAGGTATTTGAGCTCCTACTGTATACCACCCATTTCCAGCCTTGATCTTAGCCTGGGCTTCCACTCTTCTCCTTGTAAACCTCTGATCTCATGAAATGCAGTGTCTTGAGTTTTGCATTTAGGCAGTAGCCCAATTTGAATGTATGAAGTACTCTGCAAGGTCAAATAAAATCTGTTTGCATCTGGCCTGTGAGCTACCAGTTCCAACCTCTGGAGGAATCAGAAGTCCATGTGGGCCACTTCAGGGAATGTGGGCTAGATACTGAGAGCAGTGGGGAGCCACCAGGGGGCTTGAAGCAGGGGTAAGACATCCCAGGCTCACGCAGAAGGCCTATTGGCTGCTATGTGGAGAACAACCAGAGAGGAGGCAAGGCCCACTGGCAGATGTTGTAGCCCCTGGGGAGAGGCGGGAAGGTGGGGAGGTCTGCACAACAGCCTGGGGCTTAGGGGTGGGATGTGGGAGAGAAGGGATTTGAAGGCAAATTAGAAGGAATGGTGTGCGTGAAGGGTCAAGGCAGCAGGTGCAGAAGGAGAAGGAGCAGTGATGGATGAGGACGACCTTGGCCCCTGTGGGTCACTCAGGGAAGATACCCAGAGGATTTGCACCTGGGCAGGCGGGACTGGTGTCCCATCACCCCTGGCACACAGCCCGCTCAGTTCCTGTGACCACCCCAGGCACCCCTTTACTGTGTACAGCTGTTCTGATGTCCTGATGACACCACCTTCCTAGGATGGACATGAAGACCAGGGGTCCCAAATATGTTTCGCTCACCTCTCAGTCTCGTTTTTTGTTTTTTCAAGTTTGAGCTAGGGCCGACCTTTTAAAGTCTGGGAAAATAAGATTCTTCACTTCTAATTTGTATTGAAAAAAAATCAAAAACAGCTGGCAACGCGAGAGCAGAGATCGTGCATGGCAACGCCCAGTCCAGGCCGCATTGCAATCTCTGCCTCTTAGACGGGGCTGCCTGTGTATTCTTGGTTCCCAAAGTTTCCAGCTGGCAATTTACACTTCCTGCTTGGCTCCTGAAGGCAGGCTGCTCCAGACCCTTGCTCTAGTCTAGTCTTTGGAGCAGAAATGATACCCTCAAAAGGAACAGGGATTGTCCCAGGGGGAGAGGGAGACTGGCTCTGAACCCCTTTAGACCCACTGGGGGAACAGACCCCTTTGTCTGTGGCCTTCCCCTGCACACACTCGGGGAGATTTTTATCTTGGGACAGTCCTCAGCAGGTACCATCTGTCAAAAACAAGTCACTGTTTCCAGGATCATGCATGAAGAGCAGATATGAAAGTAAGAGGCCAACCCTGCCCTGCTTTTTCTAACACTGAAGCAGCACAGCAGTTATATTTTTAGCAGCTGCCCTCTGGGAGAGCAGAATTGGAGATCCACTTCCTGGAAGTCACCCCCAGGCCAGGACCACACAACACTTTCTCTGCGTCTGGGACCTTTGCCACTGCCACCTTCTGCGAGCCCCACCTCAGTCTTGGGCTCTGGGCAGAACCGAGAAGCAGCTATTCCCCCAACTTTTAACAGTTTATGATACAGCGGGGAATGGCTCCTAGCCAGCAAATAGGCTGTGTCTCATTCAATCATCCCTCTATCCACTGACAGCATTCGGGTATCTACTGCGTGCTGGGGACCCTGGGCCTGTTTTAGTCGTCCTGGTCCCTCTGCTTGGCACACCACCCTTTCCTATGTGGTGGTCTTTAAAGGCTTAGCTCCAATGCTGTTTCTTAGGTTGTCTTTTTCAAGCCATCGGACCCCCTGCTAGTTGGCTGGGTCTCCATGTGTTCCTAACCCTGACCTGTGCTGCCTCTATCATCAAGCTATTTATCATATTACACGATTAACATCTGGGTATTTTCTCATACTAGACCCCGCCTCACGAGGGCAGGGGCTGTGTCTGTTCACCACACTGTGCCTCCCCACCACACATGCATGGTGGCAAAAACTGTTATTTGAATAACTCAGTGGTTTTCCAAGAACAGATTGGAAATTTGTGTGGGGATTTGGGGTGTCACAAGACTGAGGGGACACTAATAACATTTAAGACACAGCGAGCAGACACCTGGACCTCTTGTAAGGCACAGAATGGTTCACCATAAAAAACTGTCCTCCATCCTGCACAATTTTCCCAGTGTCCTTCCAAACCTTCATGTGGGCAAAAAAGCCTGCTTGCAACCTATCTCATATACAGATACGATGAGTTTTGGCGTGCCGGAGTGGCTCAGTTGGTTAGGTGACCGACTCTTGATTTCAGCTCAGGTCATGATCTCAGGGTTTGTGAGTTCAAGCCCCACATCAGGCTTTACGCTGACAGTGCAGAGCCTGCTTGGGATTCTCTCTCTCTCCCTCCCTCTCTCTCTGCCCTTCCCCCACTTGCTGTCTCAAAAATAAAAACTTAAAAAAAATACAGTGAGTTTATCCTGGTTTTAATATGCAATATGTTATCCAGAAATGCATATACCAGGCTAATCAAGGGAGGTCGTACTCTGTTTTGTTCACCATTTTGGAAAATCAGTGTCAAGTCTTTCTCACCACCGGTGAGTCACCAGAACACGCCCATGTGTGTCTGCATTGTGGCTGTCATCCGAATTACACATTTGTATACAAGTATCTAGCCTTTGACTCGAGAAGTCAAATACAAACTGTCGGCAAAATTCAAGTCCAAACTTACTCATTTTACGTTAGGCACAAACGTCACCTGGTGTAATCCAGTACCAGCCTTTACAAAGTGAGGTGCATAGTCTTTTACTATAAATTACTTTCACTGCCCATGTGTCGCCTTTATAACAAATACGGGGCATCATACTGATTTTTTTCACCCCCGGGGAACCACCGTTCCGGACGAATCCGCCTCCTCGCTCAGACTCAATTTCCCCGACTTCCGCAGGTAGGCACAAACTCCACGCACTGGGGACCGGTGAAGGCCCCGCTGGTCGCGAGGGACTGTTCTTCACCCCAGCCTCAGTTTCCCAATCTGTCACACCGCTCAAACATCTCCAAACTACTCCCACGCGACCGCACCATTCGCTTCAAACCGGGCCGGAAGCGACGCCTCGCGGCCGCTGTGGGCTGCGCGCCTGCGCAGAGACCCCGCCAGGCCGCGAAGGCTCGCTGCGGCTTCTAGAACGCATGCGCCTCACCCACCCAGGGCCGCGCGCCGCTCGCGATGGCTCCCAGATTGCCCCGCGGTAGCGGGGTGGAAAATGGCGGCCTCCTCTCTCTGCGCGGGTGGTAAGCTGGCTGGGTTGCTAGAATCCAGCCGGCCTCTCGCCTTATCCAGGTGCTCATGGCTGGCGCCAGCACTCACAAAAAGAAATCAGGTAAAGCTGCAGAGGAAGGGATGGGAAGGCTCGATCGGGCCCCTTGACCCCTCTTTACTGGACTGGAGGCTGCGCGGCTCAAATCGAGCTTTTAAAAGGAGCGCGCGTACCCCACGCCGCTGACCCCAGAGGGCCATTCACGGTCTCCAGAGGAGGGAGGAGGCGGTTGATCCGTTTCCTGCTGAGAAGATTCTGTTCTAAGGCAGCTGTGGGAGGGGAGAAAAGGGTAAAGACACTCCTGCGCTCCGCGCTCCCCGCTGCCTGTTGCTGGAGAAGAAGGTCTCTCTTGTTCGCCAAGGCTGCCGAAGCAGTTCTCGAGTATTTCCTACCTGTTGTGACATCGTCGGCCCTCCCACTCTTTCTCTCGCCGTTTATTTGTTTTGTTTTGTTTTGTTTTTTCCTTGCCTGGCGCTGACTTCTGACCAGGTGCTTAGCTGCAGGTGTCCCCCCACCCCTACGCAGATTCACCCTGGGATCCCACCCGATAGTGGCTGAGTGAGCCCCGCTACCCAGGATAGGGGTTTGTGCTTGGCCGGGCAGATCACTTCCCACAGCCGAATTGGACCCACTGCTTCTTATAAGGGATTCGGGCAGTTTGGCTTATGGGATGCAGGACAAAAGGCTAAGGCAACCAGCAAAGCCCGATGGTTTGAGATGAATGATGAATAGGTGAATATGAGATTCTGTGGTCTAGAGAAGAGAGGTTTGCCTAATTCTGTGCGTGTGGGGGGATTTGGGGGAAAGCTTAGAATTGAGGGAACAGAAAGTTTAGAATTGAAGTTCACCAGAGGAACAAGGGGGAGGGAGAAGGCATGAATGGCATTCAAGACAGGGAACAGCACCTGAGAAGGCATGGAGGCATGAACTAGCAGAGTGAGTTTTAGTATCAGAAGGCAGTCTGGCATGAATGAAATGCAGGGTGAGTGTGGAAAGTGAGGAGGTGTGACTACAGATGGTACCAAGAGTCAGGTCATGGAGATGTGAATTCCGCGTTGAAATTTAGAGATTTATCCTGAGGGCAGGAGTTGGGTATGGCTCTCAAGCGCGGAAGCTGAGGTGAACTCAACACCAGATTTCTGGCTCAGGCCACGAAGTGGATTTGGTAGCCAGCTGTAGAGGGCAGCAAATCTAGGAAAAAATGAGGTAG